ACTGATTTTAGAGAGATGAATGGAAGATACAGGGAATTCTGCAATTGTATTGTGAGGCTAGATGCTTGTCAGCCCCTTCAAAACTCCTTTGCTTTTTCTCCAAATGCATACTTTGGGGCTTTTACCATCCAATTTTTCTTTGAAAAGAGAAAGTGGGACAGGTCTCTTGCTCTTAAGTGGAGAATGTCTACTGTAGCACACCTTGTCATTCATAGAGACCATCATGGAAACTCCTTTTTGTCTATCTTCTCCCAACTCCCAACCAGTTTACATAAAGACAAAAAGCAAGCATCAGGCAGGAAATTATGACAAGAGACCACAAGAAAACAACTAAATGCATAATTCAGGTGAAAGCATAAAGGAAAAAAAGGTCAGTTGCATTCCTACAGTTCACACTTACCAGGATTTATGAATTAAGAATATATCAGATACCAACATCTAGCTGTTTTTTAAATGTTATTTTCATTAAAATCAGCCAGGAATTTGGAGCAAGAACTGACTAAATTAAGTATTTATCTTTATAATTATTTCCAAACCACCATGATTTTCTGCAGAATATAGCACAAAGATCATGGGAATAACAGGAAACCAAAAAAGGAAGAAACAGCAGAAAATAATGTGTTTTAACTGCAAGTAGTTTCAATGACACGACACATGTTCACCTCTTCCCCAATCAAGCTACACATATCTTACAATAGATAGAAAGAGCCTTCTTTTCTTCTGCATTTTTGAATGAGTGATCTGTTTTTCCAAAGAGAGATTATACCAACTGCTATTTTATTTACTTAACCTTGTGCTCTAGTTCGCAAGTACCAGTTTGCATAATGACTTGTTTTTATAGTGACCACAAATGCCAGGTAGTAACATGTACCTTTTAATCTGGGCTTCTTCAGATTGTCTCTGTGGTCACATGAACAGTACTCACTCAGAGAAAATGAATCCCTAGATTTAAAAAGAAAGGAAAAGAAAATAAAAAAATCCTTCTCCAAAACCAAAGGAGACTGCAAATTCATTTCATGGCTAAAATGCAAAGATGCCATGTGTTGGGTCTTTTTTGTCTTGAGTATTTCCACCCAGGTTTCGGTGGTTGTTCTGACAGTGGTCCCAGGGACCCTCTCTGCACTCCCCAATATCTGCTCTGCATAACACTAACCACAGATCCTGACTCAGACTCACGTGAACTTGCAGAGTTCTCATTTTATACTGACTATGCTCAAATTCACAAACAAACAAGTATGATCTACCACATACTATTGTCTTGCTGCTTCATTATATGGCTGCAGACTGATCACATCACCAATCTATTTCCTCTCTTAACCACCAGCTTGAGTCTGTACCGGTCTTCCTACACCGAGTGCAGGGTCCTTTTCATAAGCACAAAATATACTTTTTTTTTTTTTTTCCCCAGATTCAACTAGCAGAACTCAAAGGCTGCATAGCAGGAAAATTTATTGTTAATAGCTATTGGCAATTTCACAAGCTTAGACTAAGTTCTTTTTTTAGTTCCACTGAAATTACACACATTTCCCCCAAGACTAATAATACGTCCCATTCCCACAGACCTCTTTGGCATGTGACTGTGCAGTACAAATGTGACTTAGCGGAGAGAAGGAATAACTCAGCACTATCACTCCTAAGTGTCACCTACAGAAAGCAGATCTTCCATAATTTTTAGGGTTAAGGGTAGAAAATTTTCACTAGAGCAAATCAAACCTTTACAACTGCCAAAAAAGTTTACTGAAATGCATTTGCAAAGAGCTACAGAATGAAAAAGGGGTGATTAAAACTATAGCAGTATCTCTGGGAATACCACTGGACACTTGCAGCCAGAGAGGATACTGACCAGCTTTGCCTGGGGTCCAAACACTGCAGCAATTACAGCCCAAGTGTTATTTAATAATTGCTAAATTAATTAATGTTTCTGATAAAGGCTACCTTATATGCGTGCACTACCGAAGTTCAGCTAGTACAAACCCAAAAGCTAAGGAAATTATCGTGCTTTTTCAAGCCTTGGACTTGTTAAGAGCTGACAACATAGTGTGGTTTATAGCTGTGCTTCAAGTGTCACCTCACTGTGCTTACCCCTGGACAAAAAAATTGTCCCTCCACAGCAAGCTATAGCATCATCTGAGCAATTCATATGATCTTCCCATTGATTGGAAACACTGCAGGTGAAGGTTCAGCATAGCACTGCTTCAGAATAATGCAACAGATCTCTTTTTAGCCTCCATTCACTCTTCTCCTCTTATTGTATAGTCTCATAAGCATAAGAATAAAAGTTACAAATATATCTTTTATGTATCTCATAATCCATTGTTTCTTCCCTTTTCTGTGGACTATGACAACAAAACTTTACATCTCTCTCTAAATAAGCTCTGTAGCCCACTGTACTAAAGAGAGGCAGAGAAAGCCACTAGGACTCAATTCAGATAAGGATTTCCTAGAAAATCTAATTAAATGAATGCTTCCTGTGCCTTGTGAAGACAGTAACCTGCAAGTGCATACTGTGTCAAGGAGGTTTTACGAGACAAAAGTTAATGAGTTCAATACATTCCTGAGTAAAATGTGACCTTTAGCATTAAAAATGGAAGCCTAACATGCTTAATTTGTGTTGAGCAACATCTGATTGTTTTTTGACTGGTCTCTAAAAATGGATTCAGACACCAATTCAATCTGATTTAGTACAAAAATCACTGTGAAGTGAACCCCAAAAGTCAGCTACAGGAAGCCAGTGCAGTTTAATGGTGAGGTAAATATGAATTTCTACCAAATCCTACTGGAGAAACTCCAAAGGACTAAACAGTCCCAGAGGCTCACACAGTTTTAAGGTGGTCACCACAATTCTACACTCATATCCGCTCTGCAGTTATTGTATGTTGGAGAGCTGTGCTCATCTGCTTCGTGGAAAAAGCTGCAGTGACCTTGTACACAGTAAGAGATTTTTATTTGATGTGTCATGGTCCTTAATCCTGAGTCTGCATTTTTGGGCACAACAACTTGGTAGGGTACACTGCAGTCCAAGGGCTCATGTGTAACCTTCTCACTCTTCCAGCTGCAGGACCTGTTGAAGGGAACTGCAGATCCCTCCCTGAAGACAAGGCATGGTCTAGATGTGTGTCTGTGAGACTGGACTAACATCCTAACATCCAATTCCCAAGCACAATGGCTATAAAGTGAAGACAGTCAAGTGCTGATCACCTTCCAGCAGCAGAGGCCTGTTGGTGACTGTAGGTCCAACAGCTCATGCTGTTGCTCTGAGCAACACATCTGGAGTTTCCCTGCACAGGAGCTCCTTATGTAAAAATCCTGATTGGTGTTAAAGGAATCAGTAGCAGTGCTTCTACATCAAAGAGCCTTCACACCTCTTGTAGAAAAACCCATTTATATTTGTCACAGAATCATAGAATCTCAGACTGGTTTGGATTGGAAGGGACCTTAAAACTCATCCAGTTCAAAGCTCCTGCCACAGGCAGAGACACCTTCCACTAGAGCAGGTTACTCTAAGCCTCATCCTACCTGGCCTTGAATTTGATATTATTTATGTTTTTACGTTTATTTATATTCTCTATGTTGGTTTAAATTCTGTAAATAGAATATGCTTTAATACTGTTTGGAGCAAGAAAAGTGATTCCTAATACAGAAGATTCTCAAGGAGTTAATCTGAGGAGCGCGTGTTAGACACCACACAATGGAGCAGGCTTGCTGAACTCAAGAACATTCTCAGAGCAGATGAGCAGTTCATTACCACCCATAAAAGAGATTACATGTGATCACATAAGACACATCTTTTTTATCTATTTTTATATGCTGAACACCGTTAAATGTAAATAATGGAAGGTTTGCTTAATAACTATGTTTTAAAATCGAATTTAAATTATTTTGCTTTGTGTCATACTTTAGGATTACTTCAATGCCCCTGTTGCCAGTAGTGTTGTTTCTGTGCATCTGAGTTTTCCTCTGATGTTCCATCACCATCAAACTTGCATGTTAATTGCATTTATGTGTGTTCTTTGCTGTGGTACAGGTGGCAAAATAAGTCTAGGGAGAAAAAAAGAAAAAAGATAAGGAAGCTGAAAACCTATAACCACTGATGAAAGTCTTAAAATCTTAAAACAAAACACTAGTCTTCAACTTTATTTTTGTCAAGAAGTTTTCTGTAAGGAAATATTTGGGTGCATTACCTGTACCTGCTCACCACAATAGCACAGATTGTAGAACCATGGAATGGTTTGTGTGGAAAGGGGCCTTAAAGCTCCTCCAGCTCCAACCCCTGCCACAGGCAGGGACCCCTTCCACTGGAGCAGCTTGCTCCAAGCCCCTGTGTCCAACCTGGCCTTGAGCACTGCCAGGGATGGGGCAGCCACAGCTTCTCTGGGCACCCTGTGCCAGCGCCTCAGCACCCTCACAGGGAAGAGCTTCTGCCTAAGAGCTCAGCTCAGTCTCCCCTCTGGCAGGTTCAAGCCATTCCCCTTGGCCTGTCCCTGCAGGCCCTTGTCCCAAGCCCCTCTCCAGGTTTCCTGTCGCCCCCCAATACGGCTCCTGACCAACACTGGAAATTCACGGCTCTGACCACCCGCTGGCCGTGCGAGCTCCCGCCCCGGTGCCGAGCTCCCGCCCCGGTGCCCAGCTCCCGCCCCGGTGCCCAGCTCCCGCCCCGGTGCCCAGCTCCCGCCCCGGTGCCCAGCTCCCGCCGGCGCTAAAGAAGCCTCCGCCAATCCTAAGGCCGGCGGGTACAGGCTGCATCACCGGGCGGGCGCTGGCTGCGGTTCGTCTCTGTCCGGGTCTCGGTCCCTTACGGAAACCTCCCCCGCGGAGTGCAGCGTTCCGGGGGCACAGCGTGCTGCGTCCGCCGGGCCGACCTCCCGGGGAGAGCGGGGCAGGCGGGCCCCTGGGCGGCGGGTTTGAGCAGGGGCAGAGCCGCTCCCCTGGAAACTTTCTCCTCAGTGGCCGCTCTCGCTCCCGGCGGCTGGGCCGGGCCTGGCAGGAGCGCGAGGGCTGGGGCCGCACCGGCCTCCTCTGCGGCGCGATGGACTCCGGCAGCGAGACCCACGAGCTGAACGGGCTGGCGGAGGGCGCGGAGCCGGCGCTCGGCGAGCGGGTAGGGCCGGAGGCGCTTTCAGCCGGCTGGGGGGGGAAAGAGAGCGGGAGTGGGCTCGGCTGCCGCGGCGCCCGGGCATGGCGGGCGAGAGCAGGGCAGGAGGAGGCGGTGTATGGGGCACCGGCGGGACAGGCGTGAGGGGTCCGGGGCGGCGCCAGCCCATCTCCGACCCAGCCGACTACGGGAGGTGGCGGGAGCAGCCGGGAAGCTGAGGCGGGAAGAAACGCCGGGAAAGGGCCGGTGTGCTGAATGCTGCCCTGCCAAGTCTGGTAATGGGTACTCACAGAACCACAGAATGGGTTGGGTTGGAAGAGACCTGAAAGCTCTCTCAGCTCCAACCCCTGCCGGGGGCAGGGACACCTTCCACTGGAGCAGCTTGCTCCAAGCCCCTGTGTCCAACCTGGCCTTGAACACTGCCAGGGATGGGGCAGCCACAGCTTCTCTGGGCACCCTGTGCCAGCGCCTCAGCACCCTCACAGGGAAGAGCTTCTGCCTAAGAGCTCAGCTCAGTCTCCCCTCGGGCAGGTTCAAGCCATTCCCCTTGGCCTGTCCCTACAGGCCCTTGTCCCAAGCCCCTCTCCAGGTTTCCTGCAGCCCCTTTAGGCACTGGACCTGCTCTAAGGTCTCCCCTTCAGGAGCCTTCTCTTCTCCAGGCTGACCCAGCCCAGCTCTCTCAGCCTGGCTCCAGAGCAGAGCTGCTCCAGCCCTTGCAGCATCTCCATGGCCTCCTCTGGCCTTGCTCCAACAGCTCCAGGTCCCTCTTGTGCTGCTGCCCCAGAGCTGGATCAGGGCTGCAGGGGGGGTCTCCCCAGAGCACAGCAGAGGGGCAGGATCCCCTCCCTGAGCTGCTGCTCACGCTCTGGGGGTGCAGCCCAGCACACGGGGGGGTTCTGGGCTCAAGCGCACACTGAAGCTGGGTCATGGGGAGCTTCTCATGCACCAGTATCCCCAAGACCTTCTTCTCAGGGCTGTTTTCAATCCAGTCTCTACTCACCCTATACCTCTCAGTTTAATTTTCTTTTCTAACCCGTCTTCCATTAGTTCAGCACTTCTTTTTGTGCACATGCTGCTGCAGGCAACCCACCTTGTCTCATTTCAAAGATAGGCAAGTGCCAGTGGAGGAAAAGATCCTTTTTTGTCCTTGGCAGGATGACCCTTTAGTTCCTACACATGTGAGTTGAAAGGTCATCAGATGTCCTCCCCACCCAGAAATCTCTGCTCAGAGCACACTGACATCTCTCCAAACCTGGGAGGGTGTTTCTACCCAGATTACTTGGGAGAGGATGGAAAAGTTGCTCAGGAATATGTGCACAGGAGAGAAAAGAGCACAAAAGTAGGAGGAATTATTTAAAAGGTTGGGCCTTTATGAGTTGGGTTTTTTTCCATACATGAATCCAAGTAAAAATGAGAAATACCTAACTTTTACTGTTCTTTTACTTCATTGCAGAGCATTTCATCCCATACTCTGTTTATGCATAAAGGATATTTTCCAAGCATGCCAGTTATCTGAAAAGCCAGACTGGTTTAAAAGAGCGTAGAAGATCATCTTTTATGTTGTTTTGGAAAGGAGTAAACTCTAAAAAGCAGCTTTTGTTCCAACCTAAGACTTCCACATAGAACCAGTTGTACTAAACTACCTACGTCACTGGTAAAACTTTCTGGCTACAGGCAGACTGGACTGTTTGTGTAGCAGATCTGTCCTTCCTCCCTCCCTTCCTGACAAACCCTTGTAGCCATGACTATCATACCAAGGAATAAAACAAGCTGGCTTTTATAAATCCTGGAAAGTACATAAAGATAATCAAGGCTGGGGTGCGCAGGTCAGGCTGGTGGCCTGGACGGGTTTCCTGTAAACCACTGACTTTTTAGCCATCTTCCTTTTTTATTAACATAGAGCTGTGATTGCATCACAACTACTAGACATAGAGATTTTTTTAACTTGCTATGTTCTGAGAATTTTTCTGCAACTTTCCCATTTTACGTCATCTTCAGTTGCAAGCAATCATGATTTTGTTACGTCTTCCCCATAGAAACTCCAAGTGCCATATAAAGAATAAGTAGCTAACTGTACTATTATACTGTATTATACAGTGGCACTTCAGAGAACTTTACGGACACTTTTTTCCCATTTTCTAACACACACAAAAAAGTTTATGTGAGGTAAAACAGATGGAGACAGGTTTCTTAAAAAAACAGTCTGTGAATAGGAGATACCTTAAAAGTCTGACCAAGTTCACAACTCACAGCCAGCTAAACCTAGGGAGACCACAAATCTGAATGTGCCTGAATCTTCATTGTTGGAATCAGAAGTGCCTAAGTGTCTGCACAGGCCTTGCAACATGTTCCACCTGGGTTGGCTTACTCCCATCCTAGTGTCTGCTCTCAGAACAGATTTTCTTGCACATCTTCAGCAGCAGACTCTTACAGAAGAGCTGACAGATGCAGATAGAGTTATCCAGCTTTCAAAGCATTCAAAGCACATGAATTAAAAAAAGGCTAGTTAAGCCCACTGTAATTGTGAATGAGTGGTCACACAGTGGGTTGATGTGGTTTATTTTGATTTCATTATTAATTTGGGTAGGGTTTTTTAGCAGCTGTCAAGCTTTTAGAAGTAAGAAATTCCCTGCTTCTAGTGCCGGGTTAGCCTGGTACTTCTCATTGACTCATGTGAGGAATTACACTTGGCAGAAGTATCTGGCTGCTTCTTCCAAAGTATCTGTTCATACAAATACAGATAGTAACTGGTTTTGCACCTTCATTTCCTTGCTTCCCTTGTTCATGGTCCATATTCATACAGTCCTGTCACCCTGTTGTAAAATCTAGTTTAATGTTTCCAAACTACTAGGAAATCCTAGTTGAAAGAGTTAAAGGACTATGACAAAGGTGAACAAGAATTGGATGGTAGAAAAGAACAACAACAACAAAAAAAAATAAAGCTCTGCAATAGCTGCCTTCACGCTTGTATTCATAAGTAGGTTTGGGACATGGCAGTTTCTTGGCATCATGCTGCAAGTAACAAACTTCACATCTGTAGGAACTTGAAATTATATCACTGCATATAGAATGAAATGGAAATTTCTAAAACATTCAAATTGAATTTGAAATATTTTATATACTCTGAATATTGAAACTGTTGATGATAAGGTTTTGTTTGCTTGTTTTTTTTTAAGTAGCTAGAATAAACAAGCAGTGCTTTAACCACACAAAATAGGCAGCCTGCAGACCAGTTGTGAGAAGTAGTAATAGAAGACGTGAATGAGCAGTAGTAATGCAAGACAGAAAAAAGTCATACAGGAGAAAGCTTCTGTCTAAATAGGTGTACAGTGTAGTCTTAATGTAGTCATACTTGCATTTTCTGACTGTATAGAAAGTGGCCCTTCTTAAGAATAGGCTTTTAAAGGTACTCGAAAATTGATGATGTCTGTGAAATATAAACACAGGCTGTGTCCTCCCTGCTTTTTATTTTGATTGCAACCATACGGTCTCAAGATGTGATTGCAGAAGTCTCACAAGCTTGTTAATGTGATGCTGGGTTGGTACTTGAATGAACAGATTCCCCTACCCTCAAATGAAATTCCTACATGAAGTGTAATTGATGAGTCAGTCCAGAGGTAGGTTTTTTTCTCTCTTGAGTCAGTGCTAAGCTGAAGAAGTGATCTAATGTTTTACTGGGGAAAAGAAATAGTTATCTTCTGTGGAGGTGTACAAAGGAGCTAATTGTTCATTACATAACTGATACAGCTTAAAATCATAGAATCGTAGAACAGTTAAGGTTGGAAAGGACCCTAAGATCATCTAGTTCCAACCCTCTGCCATAGACAGGGACTCCTCACGCTAGACCGTATCACCGAAGGCTCTATCTAGCCTGGCCTTGAACATTGTCAGAGATGGAGCATTTGCCATTTCTTTGGGAAACCTGTTCCAGTGCCTCACCACCCTTGCAGGGAAGAACATCTTCCTTATATCTAACCTGATATATTTGTTGGAAGAATATTTCTTGTCTTTGCAGAATATTTTCCCTACTTCTTTAGACCAGCAAGACCTCTGAGGCAGAGGGGAAGTCTGATTTCAGAGCGGCCACATATGGCCCATTGCATCTTCAGTATGTAAGTGATGGAGATATGGATAGAAGTTCCACATCTATGAGGGTTATTAAAGAATTATATGAAGTCACTAGTTCAACTGTGTAACTGTAGGGTTGATCTTAGGAAAAAAAATACAAGTACAGTTCTGAAATTGTCTTCTGTTTTATTCCTGTACTATTTCTTAATGTCTGATCCTTCTCTTTTTTGATATAACTGAAATTTTCCCTGAACATGAAATTACCACTAAAAGATCTGGAAAAGTTTGCTGTGCAGTATTTTTCCTAATGGTCAATATTTCAAGAACTTAGCGAATTACTTTTTAAACAAAAGAGCTCTCTAGCATCTTTTTAACAGTCTTGGCTAGAAAGATTGTTGCAAAACACAGTAGAGAACAGCCACTGTAAGGTCAGTATGACTCGCCTCTGTTTACACAGCCTCATTATTACGTAGCAAGTTTTCATCATTTTAAAATTAGGACTGTCACTAAACACAAGAATTTAAGGAAGTTCCATATAATATAAGCAGTAAAACCCCAGAGGTCGTTTTGGTCAACAAGTTTGCCTGATATCATTTTGAGTCAAGGCTGTTTAGCTATTAGAAGTGACTAAAAGCTGCCAGAAAATTGCAATAATCATTAACCTAAAAGAGAAAGAACACTGTATGCAGAGTTAGAGCAAGCCAAAGACTGTGGGAATTGTATTTCAGAGTAAATGTAACTGAAGGCGAAGAATCTTCTGATAGCTTAAGGAAGGTGTTATCCATCGGTTTGAATATAGAAATTATAATCACCATTATCTTCCCAATTACAAAACTGTAGGTCTTCTGTATTTAATAAAGACATTCTACTGCTTAATGATTGGAATAGTTAGAATGCTTGATGGTTAGAATACCATGAAATTATTTAGTGCTAATACTGTACCAATACTAAAATAAGAATTTGTGTGTTTTCAGAACCCAGATATGAGACTCTGGGCCTCACATGCAAAACATGGTGAGCTGTGGTACAGATTGCAAATCAAAATTGAAGAGACCCAAGCTGTACTTCTGGCATATACTTTGCAGTTTCTGTTTCAAAGTGCTCATCTGGGAAATTGGAAGTTCACCTTGCTAACTGCAAAATACTGTTTTTCTTGTGGGATTTAAGAAGAAAACATTAATAAGTCTTGTGCTAGTGAAAGTACCTGTTAACTTCATTACATGAACAGTAAATTCAGTGTTCATAACGGATTTGACTCAACTTGAAAATTTCAAGATCCTGTTGTTTCAGGCAGTGTTTGCCTTTTGTGGGGCTTTCATTTTGGCCTTTTTTTTTTTTTTTTTTTTTAGATTTTCTTAAAACAATCTCTACATGAGAATATGTGTGGTGCTAGACATTTAAGAAGCTGAGTTGAGCACCTGGGAACATACAAAAAGAGAAGAAATGAATCCTAACATCTTGCTGTCAGAATCTGAACTTTCTTCCTGCATTCGTAGGGCAGAGTGACAGAAACAACCATAACTAAGTTGTAAATACAAATGCAAAGCAGGCATCATTTTCACTAGTGGTTTGTAGGTTTTTTTCTCAGTGGGTTACAGGTGATCGGCATGTCAGAGACCCCTCCTATCTTCTCTGCAGGGACTCACTGATACAGTTTGGGAAACTCAGGTCAAGTTGGACAAGAAAATAAACAACTTTTGGGCTTCCCATTTTTTTGTTTAGACTTCCAGCATGTTGATTTGACTGGTTCAGCAGTGACTAGTGTTTGATAAATACTCAGCTGACCAAATAGCCACATAAATGTTGTCACAAGTACTGATTTCATGCTGTAATAGAAGCAGAAATCCTTACTATAACTAGTTACTGTATTTAGCAAAGATACTTTAGTATTTGTTTTCAGATGTTTCCATTTTCAGTGTTGTTTCCTTCCTGTTGAATCACCAGGTGGGTCTTAGATCTGATTCATGAAACTTGGCATCCAAGGACATTCATCTCAGCGCCACTTCTATTTATTTTTAAATAAATGTAATGAATAAATCCTGTCTGTATTTCAAAGGGACTCGGTTCTTCTGGGTCTACTGTTGAAATGGCGAGTGAAGCAAAGCAGCAGCAAAGTCCATGTCAACACAGTTGAGATTGTGTGCTCAATACTGTTCAATCCTGGTGGGAAGGGTTGGTCTTACAGAAGAAAAAACGTGCCAGCTTCTGATGCAGCATCTTAGCTTTATCCTTGCAAATGGCTCTGCTCTGGGCAATCAAACAGACCTTGCTGCTGTGTGGGGACCAGAGTGGTATTATTGTCCATGGGGACAACATCATTTGACTGTGAAAATCAGCAGTTCCACAGGAGATTGTTCCAGGCACAGACAGAGCAAGAATTTTTTCAACCCTCTACTATACATAATTGTGCAGCAGGCTGTTCTGTTCAGGGTTGGTGCTTTGCTGGCAATTGAGACCTGAGGGCAGGCTGTTACTGACAGGGAAAGGAAGACACAGCAGTTCCACCTACACCTGGCTCTTGTGCACACACATGTGAAAACACGTGCAGTTTTTCCTCAGACTCATTCAGTAATGCCAGCTGAAGGGATCAGCTTGTTTGTACCAGGTAATTTGAATACTGAAAGTGTGTAATGAGGCGTTTTGATTACGTTGAGGCTAGGGCAGGTTGTGTAGAGTACATTTCTCTTGCCAAGTGACACCTGCAGGAAAAGTTTTACTTTACATGCATACTAGAAAGTCTTCAGAAGCTGCACTTTCCGTCTGCAGGTGATAACAGCATGGGAAGTGTCATTGAATGCTGTGGGCTGCATATGTTTGCTACATGCTTGGAATCTCCCTGAAAAAAACATAAAGCCACATAACATAGTTCCCATATAATTTCTGTTGTACATGACTGTAAGTATCCTGAGGTTAAGGCAACAGCTTTTCTTTCTTTCCCTGTCTATATATTGTTGTATGACACATAGTCGGATCTTAAAAATTGCTGCCATAGGACTGACTGCATTTGTTTCAGTGCTTTTGGCAGTTCTCTTCAACTTGCTTCCAGAAAGCATTTTTATTTGTTTGATGGTTTTCTAGCATTATGAGGAGGTACCAGTTCTCAAGCAGGAGATGGGGAATGATTGTTTCTGGGATTTCTGTGATTGCAGTTCTTTTTTCCTGGCAGAAAACAAGACCACAGGCTGTTTACAGTAGAACCAATATTCACTTCTCCATATGCCTAGTTCTGATTCTGAGCTGGTCTGCTTTCAGAAGCGGTAGCTGAAAGTCTCTTAACAGAGCAAAATGCCGTTTTTTAGAATCTAAACGTAGTAAATAGCTGAGTTGTCATGCCAGGAATAAGTTTTGCCTTAGTTTGCTTCAGCAGCACCCTACTTTGAAAAAGTCTTCTCCGTTTACTGGAGTTCAGAAGTGACTCCTTTGCTTTCACCACAATTCAAATGCCATATCCTCCTATTCCCACATGCAACCTGACCATACAGAAAATCAGCAAACAGCAAGGTCCTAAAAGTACCTCTCCAGGAGAAAGAAAAGATCATATTCTGTTTTTTATGTACAAACTGTCTTATATCCTGTAGTCACAGAGGTAACTGAAAGGAAGATTCAGCCCAGGCTATTTACTCTTTTGTGAAGTTAAAATAACCCAACAGACCACCATGTCAAACATCATCACACTCCCACATCAATGAAAACAAAGAAACTACTTGTCCTGTTTTCAGTGCAGTTCCCTCCATCAGGATTAAGAACTGAGTCACAGCTACCCATGTAGTTTTGATGGTGTTGCATGCTGCAGCTTCGTAGCCCCAACAGGTATTTCTATGTCAGTATTTTCGGCAGGAAGGAGTTAATTAGCTAGTCGATTTAGGAAAAAGCTTCCTTTATTATGAACTTGTGATAAAATATTACTTCTGTAGTCTACTAAGAAGGGTTTCTTTTAAATTCATGCCTAGAAATTGCATTCTGCTGTTACACATGAAGTTCCCCATCCCGTTGTACACTGCCAGCATTAAGTAGCCAAGAGCTAAGTGTGTGTGTTTGGCTTTTTACTGTACACTAAACAGTGAAAAATGTTAGTCTGGATCTTTCTAGAGTACTGCCAGCATATATTCCATGCTGCTTTCCATAAGGAAATGAACATATACACCTGGTTTAGTGCTTCTGGTGGATGGTATTCTAGAATTACAGTATTTTTTCAAAGCATCCAAATGCTACAGTGGTTTAATGGGGCACGGAGGTGGGACGAGTAGGCCGTCCTTGGGGAGAGAAAAAGTGGCAAATGTAGGACAGAGCCCCCAGCCAAATTGCATTTTTAGGTGGTGGAATGTAGACAAAATAAATGAGTATTGAGATCCTTCTGAATGAAGTCAGCATTCATTTCAAAGAAAGTTTCTTCAGCAGCTTGGTCTCAATAAAGAAGCCATCTGCGTGAAGCTATGATTACATGGCTTCCTTCTCTTTGTAGGAAAAGTCTGCTACTGTCCCATGCCATTTTTCACTGAGTAAAATATTTAGGCTGTGGTTGATTACAACGTGTTTGGTGAAAATGGGTAAAGTTTGGTATTTGAGTGCCCTGGAAAAGCTGGTAATGTGTTTGCTCTATGCATTAGTATCTGTCCTATTTAAGAGGACACTTTTAGGGCTGTACAGTGGGAAACCTGGCTTTGGAGCTGGAAATCTGATAGTTCTCAGTGCTGCTGGAGAGAGTAATTAGAGGGCAGTTTTCTGCATTTGAGCTAACCTTCCAAGTGAGACTTTCCTCACAGTTATTTTCTGGCAAGCAGGAACATATTTGTGCAATAAAAAAGTTCTGTAAGAAGCAGGTTTAGAGAAATCAGCTAGCATAAGCTTACTTCCAGTATAGTTGTGTATTACTTTGGAATAAAGTCTAGAAGGAAGAGCAGCAATAATTAAATTCTTAACCTGTTCAGAGAATGCAGAAATGAGGGTTACCTGCTCTCCTCATTGCAGAGTTAGGCATCTAAGCCTAAACTAGTTACTCTAAGCTGCATCTAATCCATAGAGAAATAAGCACCTCTGGGAGATGAGCTGTCAAATGCCATGTGAATCGTTATTAGGAGACATTCATTTTGATCATCCTGCCAGGTTAACAAGCTCTGGTTCTACCCTGCAGTTGGGTTTTACTTTCCTGTTTGTTTGAAGGACAATTTAAAAAAATGAAAACCTGTTGGTGTGAAAAATGAAAAGAAAGTTTCCCTTGTGCTTGGGCAGTGCTTGGCACCCACAGATCATAAGCTATTAAAGTGGAAAAACAGTTCACTGTGTATGGGTGGGACTGGACAGGGACATGGCAGAGTAAGCAGCAGGGAGAGGTTAAGCAAAGCTCATACAGTGGCCAACTTCCACATAAATCCTCCAGGTAAGATTCATGAGTAATTAAGGAACTATGTGATAACAAAGGATGAATTTAATAAATATTTGTGGTTTTAAGTATGCCATAGTTACAACAATTTATTGTTTGCTCGGTTGATTTGCAGGGGTTTTTCCCACCCAACTTTTTGCAGTGCAAACTTCTCAGCTCTTTCAATCTTCCCCTTTCCCAGCATCAAAACATCCTGACTCGTCAGACTGATCCTACAAGCTGGAAAAAGTGTATCTGCCAAAGTGCAGTACAGGCAGTATTTACTGCTCTCTTGTCAGATGGAGGACAGTAGTAACAGTGAAAAAGATGCGCTGAAAGTCTCAGTACCACTATTGCTCTTATCAGTATGAATACAGAAATTAGTTGATGTGCCAAGTGATCTCTTACTATACCAATTAAGATAGATGTGAATAATCTTTCTCCTTTCTCCCAATTCTAGCAAAGAACATCACAGTGGTTTCAAAGAAATGGACCTATGAATATCAACCACTACGCAAATAAGAAAAGTGCTGCAGAGAGCATGTTGGACATTGCCCTGCTGATGGCCAATGCATCCCAGCTGAAAGCCGTGATAGAGCAAGGACCTTCTTTTTCCTTCTACATCCCACTTATTATTCTTATCAGCCTGTCACTCACACTGCAAGTTATGGTGGGAGTACTCCTGATATTCCTTGGTATGTAGCAACAAGAAAACCATTGACATGTATTTTTCTTATAGGATGCAACCTATAAGATGGTATATAAAATGGTATATAGACTTAATAATTATTCTTAAAGAACTGTTATATTTGGAAGTCTTTATGTCATAACTGATTGAGGTATTTTCTTAAGACCTTAGAAATATTGCATCCAAAGGAGGAAGGGCAGCTTTATGTGGAATCTTCAGTTTTGATCAACTTCCTCATTTGCCCAGTTTATGAATATTTTTCTTTCCAGAAGGCCTGAGGAGGAAGGAAAATGATGAAATACTGTAAAAGAAACATTAATAGGCCAGATAGAATCATGCAGCCTTCCCAGTTTCATAATAATGTTTCTGGCAAGACCTGTTACTTAATCCTGTTAATTATTATACAGTAATATTTTGAGAATATTTTGTGAACATGAGTAGCAAATTGGAACTAAAACTAGGTTGTATTGAATTCTGCTTATCACTAGGGAAACCTTTTCTACTTTCTACCAAAGAAATATGATGCATTACCTTTAACATATGCTTGAAATAATTTCAAGAGAATGAGTTCAAACAGGAGTTGTATTCATGTGTGCTCTGGACACATTTAATGAGACAGGTGTAGAATTAGTTCCTTGCTCCCTGCCCTCTTTACTCTCCGCTTTCAGACTTATTTGGTGAATGATAAACATTCACATTCAATGTTCAATGCAACATATTTGCTGTTCTCAAAAACAGGTTCCACTAGTTGGTATTAATAGGTACAATGCCATAAGGCACTAGAACCAGTACTTATCACTAACAATAAAGTATTTTAAATCAATATTCTAGTGGGAGGTATCCCTGCCCATGGCAGGGGGTTGGAACTGGATGAGCCTTAAGGTCCCTTCCAACCCAAACCATTCTGTGATTCTACAATTAGTAGCACAGATGTGTCCTGCACCCTCTGCCTTACTCTGTAAAGCAGAATATTGATCTAAGTACCTATAGAACCAGGCTCATTTCCAAAACAATGTCATCACTACGTGGGCATGAATTATCCAAAATCTTCTGGAAATCTGAGATTTCTGTTTTGACCTTAAACAAGTCTTCAGTGTTTCTCTTTGGTATCTTATCCTACTGTGATGTTTTCCCCCATGCTTTTGCAAGGCAAAATGCAAAAAGAGCCCAGTAGCATTTTGCAAAGTTACTGGAAACCTGCAGTGTTCATTGGCAGCACCCAAACCTTAGACCGTAACTTTGGAGAGTCGATCAAAGATACCTGTGGAATCGGAGGAAATATTTAGGTTTCACCATCAGTTGAACACCTAAATGACACCTTCACTGGTAGGAAACAGCTATGTGCCACTTCTCTTGCTAGTAATATATGATCGTTTACTCTCATAACTTTTTTAAAATCTTTCCCATTAAATCAATGGTTACTGGATGGCAGATCTTAAGTCTATCATAAATGCAAAGCCTTGACGATGGCAGTCAGAATTCACACAACATTTATTAAGTTATAGGTGCCACCTTTGGCATCTGTGCTAGTCTTTCAGTGTGTTGGTTTTTAGCACAACTGAAAAAAACCTTGGTGTTCAAGGAGGAAGTTCCTAAGAAACCAGGATACGTAAGGTTTATAATATTGATATGCAGCTGATGTAGCTTTTTTCTTTGTTACAAAAGAGACAGAATACAGCTGTCCCTGCATTGGTAGGGTCAGTACAAGAGCAACATTCAGGCTCAGAGGAAGTTACAGAAAGGGACTGGGAAAGGTGACCTGATGATACCAGGGATGTGTCATGGAGAGTCATGGATGGAGAAATCAGAATACACAAAAATCAGTAGACCTCATCCCTGACAGTGTTCAAGGCTAGCTTGGACGGGACTTAGAGCAACCTGCTCTAGTGGACTGTGTCCCTGCCTGTGGCAGGGTGTTGGAACTGAATAAGCTTTAAGGTCCCTTACAACCCAACCATTCCGTGATTCTATGATTCTGTGTTTCTAGGTTGAAGGCATCTCGCTAGTGGTTGTTTCAGTTGGGCAGTCTTTGAGACTCTAAACAAGTTTCCTGCTTTTTGTTAGGCAATAATTTCTCAGTATATACTGAGACATGGCTTTTTAATGCTTCTGCCAGGCATTGCCGAAGTGGCTTCTATACCTGTCATTTTTATCTTTGTCACACTGAGAACAAAGAGCATACCCAGCAGCCTGTACTTTGAAGCTGGGCTGAGGTAGAGATCACAGACCACTTAGCAAACATTGAGATGCATCTGGAGTTCAGCCTGTGATCTGCAGTCAGCAGCAGCTGGAGAGGTTCAGTGTACCAAGGGTGACAAATCCCTGTGCTGTTGGAGCAATGCTGTCATGCAAAGGTCAGTAGAACTGAAGATAGGAAGTAGAATATGGAGGTACAAATATACAGGCCTCATAGCAAGAATTTGCTTTTCACAGTGTGTATTTGGTAGTTTTGGCCTGCAGGAACAGTTTGCCTTTCTGTCCAGCCACAAAATTCTGCCACTAGCTATCACAAGTACAAACAAAAGTCTGTGCAACCATCCAGTTTCTTTCCTTGAGACAGAGTTTTATCCCAGGTGTTACCAGTTCTTACTGCTCTCTGTGAGTGCTTAAGAGCTTTTCCCCCTTCAAAAGAGCCTTTCACAAAAACAATTTGAAAAATATTCAGCAAACTTGTCCTTGAAAGTGATCTGGTAACCTTAACTTTTTTGGGAAAAAAGCAAAGAATGTCTTGAAATAGTTTAAGTGGCATGAAATCATAGTAATCTAATCCCACTATAATAAAATACTTAAAGAATAACTGTTCTTAAGAACATTTTCACAAACACCCTCATCTTAAGCACTATAATCACTAACATAGGATGACTGCCATTCTACTTCAAAATTTAGAGCACTGCCTAAACTGACCAGCAATATTGTCTTCTCTGACCCTTACTTGGACAAAGGGATGGCTCTGAAAGTGTCAGTTCTCCTTTGAGCATGATTTCTTCTAACTCACAAAATACGTTAGGCCGTTATTACCTTTTCTTTTATAAACTAACTGTCTGAAATGCTTTTCTCCTATCCTTTAGGAGTAATGATTCAATATTCATTTATTTGACACATGACAGTCCAGGAGTCCTTCTATGTATTGTTGGGATACAAACATCCACATAGCTCCAGATACTTTACAGACATATATAAACTAATTTTCAGGGTTAGATACTGCTGAGCTTAAATTATTTCATGCCTACAAAGGTAGTGCTTTGCCTGGCCTGTGATGTTTGACTATAGAGGTTTAGCAAACAGTACCTGAAGAGGTGCCCGGAATTCCTTGAAACCAAAACAGCATTAGACTTCCTAATTAGGGTCCAAGTAAACCTCGCTTTTAATACTTCAGCATCATGAGTTTGTCATACTTCTATATAACTGCTTCAAGAAACAAGCTTGTCATGGTTCTGTGGTTAAGTTCTGCAGTGTTGAGAGGCTCATTGTGTTAAAAAACAAATAACAAAGTTGATCTCTGGCAGTAAGGTCTTAGGCTACACATCTGTGTGTGTGCCTGTCAGAAAGAGCTCAAAGGCTTATGTTGCCATAAAAACTTGTCATGTATAAACTTTCTCTCACATGTCCTGTACATGCAGACTCCAGGAAGAACTAGGATTTTTAATAGGCAAAAAACTATTCTCAAAACAAGCTCCAGAATTCATTGGCACTGATTCCACCAGCATCAAATTTAGCAGAAGGTCTGAGCTGCAGAGCCCTTAATGCAGGAAAGCAGAGACAGAGGAAAATCTTGTGTTTCTGTGTGATGCCAGGCAAGCACCCCAGACTGTCTTACACAGGCACATGCTTTATCATCAAGTCTATTATCAGCCCAGTGTAACTCTTCTATATGTTTGCACAAGGCCTGGAATCAAAGCTTAAACTAAATTAATACTGTATCCCTTGTGTGTTCCTCCCTCACTGCCATTAGCAGTTCAACTGCAAGAAACAGAAGAAAATGTTTACACAGCTGATGCTTTCCATAAAAAGGACTGCAGCTACAGTGCTCTGTTCAGCAGATATAATGCTCTTGCTTTCTAAAAGCAGAATCAATGCAAAAGCGGGGAGTACAGCTGGGGAAGAGCACCAGCATCAAAAAAATAATTAGAACCCTGTTAGAGAGAGATTGGGCTTCCTGTGAAGAACCTGCAGGAAATTTAACTTCATTCTATCCGGTCAGGACTTCAAGCTTCGTGTATTCAAGACTGAAAGAATTTTTAAATGCTTAAGGTCTGCAACAAAACTAGATTTCGGAAGATCAACAACTCAGAACATTTCTAGTGATGTTTGTGTATCCGTTACTTCCAATGTTCATCCACAGAGATTATATGTTAATTACTGAAAGCTAATAGGCTCCTTGCGGTTAAAGATCTTCTGCTTAGCACTTTTACTGACACCGCAGAATTTTACTTCCTTTTAAGTATGACTGATGCAAATAGTGTAAGAGAAATTCTTGAACTGCAAGAGTAGTGAAGACTTTTATTCTGTATTTTGAAATACATAGAATTAAACATGTAATACATATAACTAAAACTTTTTTTTCCCTTTCTCTTTGAAGTAAAATATGATCTTAACAACCCTGCAAAACATGGAAAGCTGAATTTCCTCAACAACCTTGCAACTGGACTAGTATTCATTATAGTAGTTGTGAATATTTTTATCACTGCCTTTGGAGTGCAGAAGCCAGTTGCTGAGTCAGCTTCAAGACAGTAAATAAAAGGTGAGTATGGTCTCTCTGCACCTTCAGGTAGCAGGGCATAGCATACAAGAATGCTTTGCATGCTAAGGCATAGCTTTAAAAATAGCCACCAACTTATCTATACAGTTCTAGCCTTCACAGATAAAGGAGTTTACTTCTGACTGCTGCAAAAGCACAAGCAATTAGGGACTGCTATGTAATTACAGTTGTTTTGTAAATTAGAGTTCAGAAGTTGATGGCAGCATCTTATTTTGTCAGGGTTGCATGTGTCACGCATAGGAAGTGTAAAGGTTGTCCTCCTTTAGCCACTCCTTTTCCTCATTGCTGACTAAGCCAAGAAGGGAAATAATACTGTTTTGCTTCCTCCAAATGCCTGTTCTTCTTTTATGAAAGTTTTGCAGAATACTGCATCGAGTCTGTTAGACTGAAGATTTAATCTTTATCCAAGTAATTAGGGCTATTAAGTCCAACATGCAATACACATCACTGGAGCCCTTCAGTTCCTGTGCAGATAGCGTGGCTTTTCGATCTCCCAAGCTGCAGGGCTTTTGCTCTGTGGGAGATTCATCCCAAAGTGATGTGTGCTATTGCTTTACTTCATACATGTGGTCATTTAGAGCAATACTGTTTGCTTTACCTGCATTTTAAAGTTTGGCATTTACTTGTGCAGAAGAATAAACGTAGGAATTATGGGAATCAAAATGGGTATCTTCCTAGCATCATAGCTATGATGAACAATGGTGTAGGAGATAAACCTAAATTGTAGGCTTGTAGGCCAAGAAATGCTACAGTTTAACATCTGCCTTTAAAATACCACTGCTAAGTCTGTGTGTGCCAACATTGCCCTGGCTCTTTATCTTCTGAATATCCAATATTTCAGAAGACCTGCTGAAGAAGGAATTACTTGACTTCCTTGGCAAGCCATGGTACACTGGCTACTAGGCTGACAGCCCATATGTGTAACATTATTAGTTTGAGTTAACTTCTAAATGAAAGCCTTTCTCCATGAAAATGAAGGTACAAGGCCTTTAAACAGGGCCCTAATCTGAAGATGAATGGTGCAACAGAAATCTGTGCAAGAATCGAAACCAGGTCAGAATTTATCATGACTCTGAACAATATGTGGGCAAGTCAGTGCAAAAAATTACTAGAAAGATGAAGAATGAAAGGTGGTGAAGGTGGAATTGTCTGCTTTAACCAAAATCTGTGAAATTCTGGCACTGAAACAAGATTGCTTTATTGTATTTTCTGGCCATAGTTTCTACAAATAAACTTATAAATATTTAATTTAGTAGCAAAGAGCACACAGATTATCTCAGATATGTTCACAATTATATCTGGAACATCCATCTCAGTAGTACACATTAAAACAATACTGAAATAACCTCAGAATTGCACTGGCAAAGCCAAGAGAACTGAATGAAGGGTTCTTGGAATTGTAGCTGTCTTCACAGGAAAAAACATGCACAATAGCCAGGAACAGAGGCAGAGGCAAGAATCTGAACTAGGCATCGAGAAATTCAAATCATGGACAAGGTGAAATACCAGAATCCCAGCGTATCTCTTTTTGATACAGTGAAAGAAAAACTTACAAGGGAAGAGAGGAGAAGCAGATTTTGCTTATCATATTGGTGTATGCTGGGTGGAGAAGACCATGAGTTGACAGTCCAACCCAGAGCCAGTTAGTGCCTTAATGTAATGGTATACTTAGAAGTCAGCCAAAATGCAGGAGGTAGGTGTGACACACCTTGCCTTATCAGGATACTGGATGCATGAGCTCACCCACGGTTCATCTGCTGTTTCTGTACTAGTAACGCATTCTCAAATGAGGTGCCTTACTGATTCTCCCCAGTAACAGTGCCAACTCTGCTCTCTTTTTGATCTCTTGCTGTATTTCTGTAAAGCACACCTCAATACCAAAGTGGTTTGAAGAACCCTGCAGCTGTAACTGAGGTTGCAGGACATCTATTTTGTGTGTTACAATCCAGGCTGCAGACACCATTAATATGCCAGGGTGACTTCTGAACATTTCTGTTAAAGAATATTAGCTCTTTAAACATGAGAAGTGTATCCCCCTGCAAATTTCTCCCACCCATCCATGAACTTTGTCTACTTTCCCCTAACTTCACACACACGGCTAAGTCTTACGGAAGCGTCAATGGTTTTATGCAATGTCTTACTGCTTACCTGGCACCATCTGGCAAGAAGAGGCTCTTCACAGCATTTGTGTTGGTATTTCTCCTCTACTGTTCCTTCTGTTTTCCATAAACTGTCAACTCCAAGGGCTTTGTGGCTTAATTATAACTAGGATTGTGGAATCCCTAATTAGAAAGCTAGGTCTTATGTGAGAAACCAGTTCTCATGTAACTGAGATCATCATGACAGCATGAAACACAGTTCTGCCTAGAAGATGGTAATAGCTCGTACAGCTCTATATCATATATTGCATATAGCTGTGCACAGCTAGGGTGTTTGTTCACACACATGAACATGATTGGTATCTACTGCTGAAATTGGTTTAATAAACTTGCAGTGCCTCAGTAAAGGAGAACCAGTAGCTGGTTTGTGTAACCTCAGGTAGAGACAAGACCAAAGGATGTTTAAAACAAGTTTACATTTGTACAAAATCAGCAGCTGTGTGATCCTGCCTTCACGCTTCTCACACAGGCAGCTTCCTAATAAAATTGCCAAATGTGGTGTCTGGGACCTTGTCTTTTTGCTCCATATTTGTTAAATGTGGTAGTTCTTTATTGCTTTGGAACATTACATCTGTTTTTCACCCATTTGTACTTACTGCTCTTGCTAAAAACACTCAGTCACCTTAATGCAACTTGAAAAAAAAAGTCTTTTTTCTGTCCACAATCTCCTCAAAGCCCTGAGAGAAATGTGGCCAGCATTTTCTGCATTTTCTGGCTTTACCTTTACTATTACTCATACTTCAAAAAAAACCCCACCTTCATTTCCCCTTTAAGGCAAATTTGTCATTTACTCTAATTCCTGTATCACTAACATCTCAATATCTTTATTTTGTGTTTCAGAGACCTGAAGCATTCATTCTAGATGCCATTTGCACTTGAGCCAGTTACACTTGGACACGATGGGGGGGGAGGGGGGTAATACTCTGAAGAAGCTGGACACACCAGGCAGCTTTCTCTAGTCTCCAAGCAGCAGCATTACTTGTGTACCTGAAATTTTCCCATGTGTTAATATTTAAACTGTTCAGCATCTAAGGAAAGGTTGATTTTGACTCAAGGACATTGGTTTTCTGGAATACTGGCATTTCCACTTCTGCAGAAACTAACTGATTTTCAGAGAGCTCATCGAAGAAGGTATTATCAATTGGTGGCACTTCACAGGACTTCCCATTCTCCATGCCTTTTGTTTTTGTGGCAAGTTATTACTTCCTTGTGGTATGAAACATCAGACCTTCGGTTCTGGTGTGGTCACATTGTCCTTTATTTCACTTGCTTGGCACCAGACCAGTGTACTCCATGGCACAACAGTGGTCTTCCTTTGCAGTGTGCAGAGATAGCTGTGCCTTGTTTTCTTTTTTCTCCTCTCTAGCTAAAGCAAAGGTGAGACAAACAGAAGCTGTAGGCCACCATTTGTCTGGTTTTGGTCACAGGGACTCATTTGTCCTGCTTCTTCATTTCTGGACCTCACTTAAAATTTCCTCTCATTTGTGCACAGACACAAATAACTGCTAATAGTTTCTTACTATTTATTGCTGTACTCCGTATTCTGTGTATTATGTATGCTTCTGGAAACCCTGTTCAAGCACTGCCTTTTCTAGGCCCAGCTGGAAAACCATTTGGAAAACCAGGGGACACAGGATGAACTTTACTTGCCAAACTGGTAGTGAGCGCCTTTCAGCAATTCAGATAGCAAACTGGAAGAAGTTTATCCCTCTGTAACTTACTTTTCCCTCTTCTCTTCCCAAGATTGATTGCTGTAGTTGCTCTTATGCGTTTATGGCTAAAAGCTTAACTAATGTCTTAATTTTTATTTTTAAATATTTTTAGAGATATATAAATATCTTTTAGGTTCTTACCTGCTGGCTCAGGGACTGGCACTTTTTCTAAATACACTATTGCTATAATGGTGTAAGTTACAGAGATTTCTGTAACAAAAAGCATTTCAGTCATTGTATTTCTGAAGTATCACATCTGCAATCACAAAAATCCTAGTTTTCTAGATCGTGCTAACTTGTACATGAAGACTTGTACTAATACTTTTTCTTACTGTTAATTTTTAAATGCTCCCTTGCACATAGTAACAGAAGCTTGACCTCCATGTGTCTCATCTCATTTACAATTCTTATTGATCACATTTCTCTTTTGTTATGTCTTGAGGCCTGTTGGTGCACCATATCTGCATTTGCACCTTCTGTAAAAATTGCTAACCAAAAACAAATCTCAGAAACTTGTGTGATTAATAATGGGACAGAAATTCTTTTTTATTTTTCAATTTGTCTTTCAATGCTTCATTTCCAACTCGACATGTATTTAACCAGTATCTAGTAAGCAATGGTTTTAATGGTGTGTGTGGGGCTAAGTTAAACGCAGCCCAGAACAAGTTCTTAAGGAGGTACTAGGGACAATCTTCCATATTAATTTTTACAAACTAGCAAACTGCCGAAGGAGTATGTATGAACTCATACACACCTGTGCTATCGCACTTCTGGTGCTGTAGTGTAGCGAATCAGACTGGCCAAACAAACAGCTGTGCTGAAAGCCTTAGAAACCTTTCTTTTGGAGAGCAGAGGTGATGTAGGCAGAGCCCTTCCAAGCATGGAATTATTTTATCTGTGCCTTACCACTGGCAGAATTTCAGTAAGATTATTGACTGTACCAGCTTTGTTACCTTGCATTGGAATATTTGCCCGTCAGTACATCTGATTCAGCCTGGGGAGGCTCTCTGGAGGCAGCTGCCTCTCTTCTCTACAGGAAACGTTCTGCCTAAGCTAGGTGTCTGAAGTAGTTGCTTTGTGTTTTCCCAAATACATTATCTGTCCAAAGGATAGTTACTTTTAACTTAGCTGTGAATATTAGATATTTTTCATTGCCAGATTTGTATCTTTCTCTTTTTTTAAGCAAGACATAAAAAGAGGAAGAACTGTGATTGTGGCTAATCCTCTCACTTTTTTGACTTGTCCTTACTACCCTAAAGGCAGACACAAACAGAAGCCCCGGCTGTGTTGATATTTACTGTCTTTATACTTGTGATTTGGCCTAATTTTGAATGTAGCTTTCATATTTGTCTTGCACTGAAACACGTGAAAGCAGTCAGAGGGAGGTGGAGGACAGACATACCAGGTCATTTCACTTTTTATTTCCCTCTTTACTGGACCATAATTTTTCAGGTCACTCAAGTGAACAAGCTGTTAGAGTAGATTTCTCCTGGAAAATATAGCTGTTCTTATATCATCTTTGCTGCTAAACTGTCATCCGACAAAATCTACTAAGCCTTGTATATCCCATCTCCCATGGCTTGTGGAACTAACTGGATACAGAGCAGCAGGGTAGGGAAAAAGCACCAGGAGATGACTTGTCAACTGCATGCTCCAGTGGACTTTGCAGGACAATCTCCTTCCTCCTGAAGAAAAAACACTTCAAACTTGGACACGGTCTGGGGGAGCAAAAGCTGGACATGGAGGTCTGCATTAAGGGGGTAGGTGTCTGTTCACTTGAAGTCTACCAGAGCCAGGCTCAGAACAGCAACAAAAAACCTGCCATGAATCCTTACGCCTCCTGAGTTCAGTGTGACTGAAGCATTACAACAGAGATACAGCTTCAAAGAGCCTCAACTCTGCTTCTAAACACAGGAAAACCTGATCTGCACCTGACTACGAGACTCTACTGGGCAACAGCAGTATTCAACTTGCAACTGAATGTCTTTTTAAATAAAAAGGATGCTGGTTTATTACCATCTCTTTAGTTGTGATTAAATTTTGCAAAACATCTTCAGACATGCAATCTGTACTTTCAGTCTCCAAAGCCCTCAGAGGTCATGTATTTTTTAGAAGATGAAAGCATCTGCAAGTTGGCTTCAAGTATAAATAATTGAATCACCTGATTATTATTCTTTTAAGGCAGGTGCTTGTTTAAAATCCTAGTGCTATCTCCTAGGGGCGGCAAACAGCTGCATCAGTTTAACTAGTTCTTTGGTTTGCTGTGCTGCTGCAGAGTTCTTAGTTGTAGGCAGCCATTTCACTTACAAAGAGGTCAGCAGTAATGAAGCAAGATGAGCTTTTACAGGCTGTCTCAGGACACAGTTCATGCCAGGTCACCCGTTTACTCCTGTTTCATAAGCTGCTGAGCAGAGTAAGCATTACACAGACTGCTCTGGTTGTTCTCATTAGTCCCTTCAGTATCTAGGACTGCTTGGGTTGGAATTCTCTGTGTAGCTGTACTTACTGAAGCAGGTGACAACAACTATATTTACTGGAACTGACCTTTAAGTGTTTGTCTTTTAAACCAGGTCACTGCTGAAGCTTATTCTGCAGCCGAGCATTACATGAAATAGGCTTAACTAGAAAGCACAATCATGGAATCACAGAATGGTTTGGGTTGGAAGGGACCTTAAAGCTCATCAGATTGTATCCCTGCTCATACAAAAGAGCTATCAGAAACAAGTGACAGAATCCAAATGCTAAGTTCTGCTTATTTCCTAGCTTACCAGAACTGTTGCCATTATAAGCTGTATCTGATTCAGGAAATGCTACACATGGTACCAATTTATGCACCATTTTACAGTTTGTTTTCAAACCCCAAGCCAGCCAAAAGCTGATCTCTGTCCTACTGGATAATTTTGTCAACCCACAGGCTCTACTGAAAGTGTATTTACTTACTGCCCGTTAGAGAGAACCAGGGCAACTTAGAAGATGATATATTTTCATACATGTAACATATCTTTGATAACCTGCATGCTTAAACACACCACTCCTTGAAAATAAATCATCAAATCTCCATAAAGTTGGAGGCAGCATATGGCATATAGAAGCACTGACACTGAAAAGAAACAGGCTCTTCTCAGTTGTTTGCACACAAGAAAAATCCCCATTGCTTCTAAATGACAGTAGTTTGCTTTGAAAGAAATTGTTTGCATGTTATATACGTAACAGGAATATCCAAATGTGAGGGCTGGAGCCTCCCACCTTTGCATTGCCCACCCCCAAACCCTACACTTCCATTAGGAAACTAAAATCTAAACCAAGAGCTTCTGAATACCCCCAGCAGTTCTGCCAGGCTGCCTGGAGGGAAGCAATTGGGCAGAGCAGCAGGAGTCCTCCTTGGTTCTTAAGACAACCCATTTGGTATTACCACTGTTCAACCAAGAGCCAGGAAATGATACTGCGAAAGACTAGCTTAGACACCACATTTCCCTTAGATTAAGTCCGGAAACAAGTGGTGCCCCAGATAGCACCAGATGGTAGCTCCTTGTAAATTACTTTCTAGTAGAAAGGAACATGGCTAACATCACTTAACACACACAGATCTGAAGATCTTAAAATGAAGTTCATATATTGTAAAGGCTACACCTTTGGTATGTTCAGATTCAGGTTTTGCCCCAGGGAATTACCCAGAGGACAGTAAGTGTCTCGGACAAAACCTCCCACAGTGAAATGAGATGATGTTCTGCTTTGTGAAATAACGTTTCAGAGCTTCATTTTGATTTTAGAAGCTTTCACAAACAGCACAAGGCACCATGGTCCAAAGTCTTGAGTAGGCACACTCCATCTCACAACTACCACTCAGCTGAAACTAACTGCTCATTTGGAAGCATGCTAGAAGAGAAGGAAGTTTGCTGTGTCCCTAATTCCCACTGCCTTCATCTTGGAAAGTTGCACATCTGAGGAACAGGCTGTCTTTCTCCCCTGGAAAAAAAGGAGAGGTCCCTGCTTTACAGCTGGAATGGATAAGGAGCAGGAGAGGAACCAAGCTCAGCTCCTTGATGGGAAGACTCCATTCACCCTAGTGCCATGTAGGGGTTTTGCTGCAGCTCTTTAAAGTTTGCAGGTGATTGGCAGTGCTGGAGCACAGTCAAAAGCTAAGAAAAGTCATTACTAGAGCAGGAAATAAAATAAATGACAGAAAACATCTGAGGAAGACAGAGTCAACTGCAAAGACACAGCAGGCTCCTAGAGCTGAGTTTTCACCAGAGGCTAGGTTCAGCCCAAGATGCTGCAGGGTGATGTGTTAGCTGTACCCAGAGTTTTACCCTTATCCCCAACATCATTTATTCACATCCTGACATGTGAACACATCCAACAGCCATGGGAGGGCAGAGAGGGCAGGAGCATGGGCAGAGAGCTCTTGGCTGTGTCAAGGAGCACACACTGGCCATGGTAACAAAAGACTGACATGAAAAACATGCATGGTGACAAAAGCAAAAAGACTAACATGAAAAAAATGTGTTTAAAGGCTTCTTCTGCAAGGAGAAATTTCCCATTTTCATACTGATTGATTTATTTACTGTGTATTAAATGCACACACTCATAGAATCATAGGATCCCAGACTGGTTTGTGTTGGAAGTTCATCTGGCTCCAAATCCTGCCTCAGGCAGGGACACCTTCCATTGGAGCAGCGTGGTCCAAGCCCCTGTGTCCAACCTGGCCTTGAGCACTGCCAGGGATGGGGCAGCCACAGCTTCTCTGGACACCCTGGTCCTATGTTCCCTGTTCCATCCTCAGCCCCACCATTCTAACGGCCCTTGGCTGTGCCCAAGGGAGCCTTACCTGCATGTCACTGCAGGATACTTTGTGATAAATAGTGGAAGACGCACAATACAATCTTTCCAGCAATAACATCTAACTAATTATTTGCCAATCTCCTAACGGGATAGTGACAAAAAATTGCCTTCCCTGCTATTGGAGGCAATGGATGATTTTGAACTCACTTTCCTCCTCCTGTTTATTGATGTGAAAGTCTGTTTTTCCCCCTTGGATTATTTCATAACGACAGCTGTTTAATAACCTGGCTGCCTTGCCAAGGAGAACACCACAGCTCCCCAGCTGGGAACAGAGCCTTTCCAATGCCATCTCATCCACCAAGCCGGGCTTTGTCAGAAACAGAGACAGCAGAAACTCTGGTTCTGTTTTCTTCCAGCCTCCTTCATGATGCTCTCTGCTCCTTCGTTTTCCAATCTTCCAGCTCAGAGACAGCCCCAACCCTCTTTTTACATACAGTTTTTAATGTGTTGGGAGGTGAGTGTTAAAGCTGCCACCATGGCAGTGGTGCCACGCCAGGATTCCTGAAACATCGCCAACCATTCTCACTGTGCCAAAAATATTTGAGGAAAAAATTGGTTTCGTCACCACCCAACATTCCCCCAGTTTTCTGGCACGAAGGATGAAAACAATTTAAAACATTGGACCTGAAATAGGATTTAGTTTCACCGGTGTCAGACCATACGATTCATCAGGCACGGCAGGAAAAGCACTGCTTAGGGAAGAAATGACGGCATTTCCTGTGCTCTTCCCATCCCTCTCCACTGCTCATGGAGATTCAAGTTCTGGGAATGTGACTTCTTAACAAATCAAACTGTATGAAGTGCATGAAAAGGGGCAGTGCAAGAGCAAGCCAGGACGGGCCTGTGTGGATCAGGGTTCTCCTTCACACTCTGTAAAAGCTCCTTTTAATCCACGCTCATAAATAAACAGGCTTGAAAGCTCCACATCCCACAGTCATGCTGGTTGGTGTCATCACAAGAGTTCGAAAGGGCCACAGTTCTCAAATAGAGATGCCAGCATCTTTAAACCTGATGTCACTTAGTATTTTGTTTAATGTGTGTGCTCCCTTCACTTGCGGAGACAGGGTGTAATGGAAGAATGAGTCTTCTTGTCCATGTTTCCAGAGGCAGGACCAGCCTATACCCATACAAGGCTGAATTTCATCCAGCTCTGAATGAGGAGTTTCCTTCCTACTTCTTTTCTCTACGACTCAGTGCTAGTCCAGACAAGTTTCACCTATGCTCCACAGTGCTCCCTGCCTGGGAATACCCTGAAAGAAGATGCCTTTACAACTCTTCCATACAAAACTGCTATCTAAATTACTACTACTTCTACTACTATTATTATTATTATCATCATCATTATATCATCATCATTATCACTATCATTATTATTAACAGTTTTCTGCTTTGAATTGGTCCTACCTGCTGTAAACTTTCTTCCCAGCTCCTGGCAGGATGAATTTCTTCCAGAGCCATGAAAAGCAGCAGTGATGAATCAGGGTGATTCTGAGCCAGATCCAAGATACGGCACGTCAGTGTGAAGGATGAGCCTCTACTCACCTCCAGAGGCTCTAACTGCACCTTGCTGCTTAACCATAAACCACACAAAACTAAGGCAAAGCAGTATGGTGGTGTGTCATTTAAGGGTGGAAGAAAAAGCTCCTGTACTTAGAAACCTTCCAGGTGACAGAGTCAGGAGCAGGTCCAGCCCCATGCTTGCAGCAAAGGAAAAAAGCAGGGCCCTCAATCCACCAGGACATGGCTGGTTTCTGAAAGGTGTGAGGCAGGGAGCCAAAGCTACCACCAGCATGTGACAGTGCCCATGGGGGTCTGTACCACATCGAGAGGCATCCAGCCCAGCCTCTTGACTGGTCAGTGCTCATCTGTGCCCAGTTTTCCAATTGAAAGCAGTGATGTATTCTGGATCTCCCTCTCCTGGTGTGCAGGAAGAAGCATGAGTGGAGCTGCTGCAGCAAGGCAGCCTGTCTGCATTGTGCCTCCCTTTAGTCCCCTGAGCAGCACCCCATGCACCAGCCCTCTGTGCCCACCTGCCAGCCCGGCTGGGTGCAGAAAGGGGCAGGAAGCACCAGCTCTGCTCGGGAGCAGCCCTTTGGTTCAGACGCCTGTGAGCTTCAAGGACGTGCTGTCTTTCCAAGCTGGGATTAGTAGGATGAAGAGAGCAGCTTTCTTGCGT